CAATCACACACTGACAGATCAGAGCAGGGTAACACACAGTACTCATCACACACTGACAGATCAAAGCAGTGTAGCAGAGTGTCAATCACACACTGACAGATCAGAGCAGGGTAACACACAGTATCAATCACACTCTGACAGATCAGAGCAGGGTAACACACAGTACTCATCACACACTGACAGATCAGAGCAGCATAACAACCAGTACTCATCACACACTGACAGATCAGAGTAGTGTAACACACAGTATCAGTCACACACTGACATATCAGAGCAGGGTAACACACAGTAGCAATCACACACTGACAGATCAGAGCAGGGTAACACAGTATCAGTCAGTGATCTTGTATCTTATATTACCTGTTTCTGTCCTGCTTCTGTCCTGGTTATTGTTGTAAAAGGTGGCTCTATAAAATGTTAAAATGTGGGGATTGAATATTTATACAAACAGCAGATTTCAGTTTTTTTATTTTTCTTAAGAATATTTCCCAATATAAAACAGTGTCACATTAAAATAATTAATGATGCATTTCAGTTCTTAGAAATATAAATATCACAGAGAACTCAATTTCAATGTAGGTTTTGTAATTCAGTAAAATGCCAGAATTGGTCAAGGGTCTGAATTCTTTTGAAAGGTCCTGTATATGTAGAAATAATTCATACTTGTACATTCTTCATTCCTAGGCAGAATTTCCAATAACCCCTTGTAATATCAAGGCCTGTCATCCTTTTTAACTTTTTTTTCACACCTTTTTTTCTACCTTCACAATTACATCAGTGAATTTTAGCCTGAAGTTGTTTTGGTCATTACTCACGGCAACACTGCATTAGAAAAAAAAACATTTAATTTCTACAGTACTTACATCTGTGACAAATCAGTCCAGGTTGTAGTCATGTGTGTAACTATTATGAAAAAGGTTTTGTTTTTTTTCATGTTTTTCAAGCATTCACTTCAAATATGTTTTTGTCAGATTACTTTATGTACTCTATTACGACTGTATAACTCAATTAAAACACCTGAAGAAGGCTTCACATCCGAAACGTTGTGCGTTTTCTTTCTCCTCTTTTCAGCAGAGAATAAACCTATTACTTCTTCCAAAGCACTTCATTGCTGACAACACCACTGTATGCTGCACTGTTCGTGCATTGATCAATAAATAAACCCTGATTGATTGATTGATTTCAATTAGAACACGTAAATAAATATCGCAGTGAATGAATACAATCTTACCGGCTGTTCCAACACTCCTGGTGATTCCTGAAGACTCACAGTACCTCTCAAATCCGTAACGTCTGGCCTCAGGTCATCGACTCAGCCACCACCTCCCTCAGTTTAATTCGGACTCGTTAATCCACCCGATTCTCACGGGTTGGTTTCTGATTGGATCAACCACACGTTTCCTTTTATCCGAAATGACCGTAAAATCTCTGGGAGAACCAACTCCAACACGGGTGGGTACAGCAGGAGAAGAGACTTTTTTTTTACTCTGTTTTCTGTTGATAACCCACCATTTAATTCTTCTTGATGCTGGCGGTGAAGACGGATCTGCCGTTCAACAGCTTCCAAGCTCCTGAACTGACCGCACAGCACAAGCAGGAAGGTGCAGCAGGAAGCACAGAGCGAAAACAAAAAAAACCAAGGCGTCAAATCGAAAGGTGGAAGTGGTTGTGTTGTGTTTTGTGGAGAAAAGAGAAGGGCTGCTGTCTGGATGAAAATAAAGTTTTGCAATACTGTTCTGTTGATGTGAAGTTCTGCCAGTGCTGCCCCATGTCTCAGAGGAGTGTGGGCAGGGTGTGACTTGTGGTGCTGTATCTTGCCCTGGAGCTGTAATTGCAAGCACAGCATCAAACAATCGAGCAATCACGTTTTATACGTTGATGTTTAATAGGAGTGCTGTTAGTTTTTTCCTGCTCCAGTTTTGGTTAGTGGGGCCCTGGATCTGGGGTTTATAAACCCATCTCTGACCTTGGGCCACAGAAGATTTGGGAAACACTGGAAGAGAAGATAACTGCTTTGGCCTCTTTCACCCCTGTCAATTTACATAGAAGAAATGAGTCCTGAAAGAGTGTGATGTATTATTTAACTGGCATTTTTACGAATGTTCAGACCTCTTCCTGTTGAGTTATTTCCTCCCAGCCTGCAAGTCTGACTGCCTTCTCCACTGCCAGGCAGCTTTGAGAGCGAACCCAGGCTCTGTTACACATTTTAGGCAGATCCTGCCCATTTTAACAGTCCAGAGAGAATTATAAGATGTAGAACTGGGTTGAGTCACACACAGGATTAACAGTCGCCTCTCTTCTGTCTAGATTAAATGTTGTACTGCACATGATCGGCTGGTGTCCAGTTTTGTTCTCTAAAGTGTTCCGTTTTTGCTTTGTTGCTATCCAATAAGACAATGTACTGAACGCATTATGCATTTCTGTACTAAATCCAAACGTTTATTCCATCCATCGACCTACACCGTGACAAAGACCTACAAGAAACACTCTTTACAGCTCTTGCTGACACGGCGTCTTAACAAA